ATTTCTTAATGGAAGCCAGAGATGGTGGAGGTCGTGAAAACCAAGTGTGGGTGAGGAACTTGGTATGAAGCAGGCTGAAGGAGGCAATGGCAGCAGGTCTTGGAGAACCATGCTGCCTACCCTGGGCTTTTTGAAGACCAGTGGACAGCTACTGATGGGAATTGAGCAGTTTCTGTGTTGTAAGGAGATTTTGGAAATGACAGAAGGACTTGAGGCAGGAGCTTGTTATGAGCCAGTGAAGGAAGGTTGTGAGGAGGCCTACAGTGGAGATTGGTTGGGGATCGTGAAGATGGTGCAATGATACAATGTGGTTGTCGACAGTTGAATGAACATCAGTTGACAGAATGCTCATTCCTTCAGTTACCAGTTACAGATCAGGAAATATTTCTCATACTTCAGTATCAAAGTGGGTATCCCAGGTGTGACAGTTACATAATTTCTCAACTTGTGAAGGGGTGGAGTCTAGCCTATGTGGGCATGGCTTTCTTCTGAAGATCCTGGGAACGCCTGTCTCCCTCCCAGGAGGCTGGATACACATTCTTTCTTGTGAAACATTCTTGTTGACAAGACACATGGAGCTACACTGATGGAGCCAGAGCCCTGAAGCTAGAGGAGCCACATGAAGATCCATACCAGCGCTGAGATGCTTTCACCACCACTGGATCCACAAGACTTTCCCCCACTGGCCTGTGATCTTCCTGTATTCAACATCATTGCATGTGCTGTGTGAGTCTGAAAAGGAATTTATGGACTGGTATCAGACATATGGCTAATATTGGGATTATGCATTTGATCTGGGTTGGAATGTTTTCTCAATATACAATTACTCTTTTATATAAAGCTCTTTCTTATACACATATGAGTATCTATGAATTTGTTTCTCTAGTCAACCCGGACTGACACACCAGGGAGCTTGTTGAAACACATGTTCATTCATGAATTCTGGGTGGGCTGGAGATTCTTCATACTGAACACACTCCTCGTGTATGATAGAAAAATAAGACAAGAAATAAGTGTGCCAGTAAATCTTCAGGAGTGCTGTCACATAATGTAACGAAAGGAGGGATTGTGCTGACAGAAGGGACAGTGGTGTACAGACAGTGAGAGAAAATGTAAACCTTCACAGAGCTAAGAAATGATGGAATAGGGATCAGCTTGGTTGTCAAGCTGAATGGAAAGAAATGGAGACTTTCTGCGATGGATCCTTACAGAAAACTTCAGTGATTTTCTGATTTACATGTTGATTATTTTATTTATAGGAGTGTGTATTAGTCTGTGTATTTATAGGGGTAGTCAGAAATCCTTCCAGATTTCAAAAACTCAGGGGCTGGGGGTGTCGTGTTTAGAGAACAAAGGGGAGGATAAGGGGGAAACACCAGGGAGACAAAGAAATGTTATTTGCAAAAGGAACAGGAAGGAATGGAATCTTCATCTTCAAATTGTACCCCCTGACTCCCTAGAAGAAATGGGGTTCAAGTTTTCCAGTAGGTTCAGGCCTGGATGCTTCCCATACTGTGGGAAAGTCTCCACCTGTGACGTCAGAGAAAGGAGGCCGTGGGGCTGCATGGAGAGTGCAGGTGTGAGCTCTGGAGGCTGGAGCCTCTTCTGCCTCAAGTTCAGACACCCTTGAGGGCCTGGGAGTTCCCTGAGTCTGAGAGGAAGCTGCTTATCCAACATTTTCCTTACTCCTCAGCACCTGCCATGTCAGAGAACGAGTCCAGTCCAGGCAGCTGGGGTCCTGGGGTGGCCATCTTGCACATCCTTAAATCTCAGAGGGATTTCAACTGCCCTGACTGGTATGTAAACATTTTTTTTTCTGTTTCCAGAGTGCTTTATGTCCACCCCTGTCCCTCTTCCTCAAGTGCCTTCTTGGACTTAGAGATGACATTCCTTGAGACCCCTGGAAGCTGGAGTGAGGAAATGGTGAGATCAGCAGAGAGCTGGGCTATTCTAACCATAAGTGGGTGCGGTGTGATATGAATTCCTGGGGTGTGGGGTTAAAGGGAAGAGAGAACCCCACAAAACATCACAGGTTCGGTAGGTGCAATTGTACAGCGATA